CAGGACTCCATCCTTGGCCCAGTTCTCTTCAACAGGTTCATTATGGACTTGGAGGCAGGACTTGAGGGAAGACTAAGTAAGTTTGTAACTACACTAAATTGGGAGGAGTTACCAACTCCCTAAAGGGCAAAGAGGCCCTGAAGAGAGATCTCAACAAATCAGAGGATTGGGCAATCACCAACTATATGAAGTTTAACAAAGGAAAGTGCCGAATTCTGCACCTGGGATGGGGCAACCCTGGTTGCTGGAGCACAGCGCTGTGGAAAGGGACCTGGGGGTCCTGGACAATGGCCAGCTGAATATGAGTCAGCAGTGCCCTGGCAGCCAGGAGAGCCAGCTGTGTCCTGGGGAGCATCTGGCAAAGCATCACCAGCTGGTCAAGGGAGGGGATTGTCCCACTCTGCTCTGCACTGGTGTGGCCTCGAGGACTGTGTGCAGTTTTGGTCACTGCAATATAAGAAAGAAATTAAGCTGTTGGAGAGTGTCCAAAGGAGGGCCACAGGGAGTGGTTGAAGTCACTTGGCCTGTTCAACCTGGAGAAGAGGAAACTGAGGGGAGACCTCATCGCAGTCGACAACATCCTCACAAGGGAGGAGCAGGTACCAATCTCTTCACTCTCATGACCAGTAACAGGACTTGAGGAAACGGTGTGAAGCTGAGTTGGGGGAGGTTTTAGGTTAGATATCAGGAACAGGTTTTTCACCCAGAGGGTGGCTGAGCACTGGAAGAGGCTCTGCAGGGAAGAGGTCATGGCATCAACCCTGACAGAGTTCAAGAAGCATTTGGACAATATTCTCAGGCACATGCTGTGACTCTTGGGGTATCCTGTGCAGGGCCAGGAGTTGAACTCAATGATCCTGAAGGGTCCATTCCAACTCAGCATATTCTATGATGAAGACCTATGGAATAATCTCACCCAAACAAAACTATTACCATACAAGACTTTATGATTACAGGTATGTCTTACCTTAAATATATCTGTTTTGAAGCTATAAATTAAGGTACTTATGTGGTTGCAAGAATCTCAACAAGACTAAGATTAGGAACAAGAATGACAATTCAAGAAATGCCAATTCAACGACCAACATACGTTAACAGAAAAATAAATTTGCGTTACGATTTCACTCTAAACAACAGGCCTTGCTGTGTTTCAAAGGGTTTTTTCTATTTTTACAAAAAGCACTTACAAAAATTGATAGCTAGTAGACAATACTGCCTGAGAAGATAATGAAACTTTGTTTCATAGTTGAGCATTACCCAGTGAATTAAAACCTATTGTTTTTAAATATAAGCTGCAATATTATGAGGCTCCTTTGGAGATACAAATAGTACTGTATCAAATAATATTGACGATTCTACGCAATAAAGCATGAATTCAACACTGGTTTCATTGTATTACCATCATGGCAGTGTTGCAGCACTTCTGAAATTACACTTTTGTCCAAGTCACTATGTCAACAGATATGCCAGTCTGCTTAAAGCACCAAACAGCTAAAATGGAATGAAACAGCTCAACCAGCTAAGATACATTCAAACATAAATTCCAGTAATGCTTCACTTCACCTTTTGCTATTGTAATCAGAATTTTACTGTTTTTATTTCACAGAATAACATAGTATAGTAAGCAGATCTTTGGGTTTAAACAAAATTTTGATTCCTCGCCTTTCAAGCTCTTATTACGCAAAGATGTAGGACATCAAGGGATGATTCGCAGTCTTGCCAAATATAACGAGATTTCTTCCTCAAAAGACATAAAGAAGTTGTTAAATATTATTGCCAACACAGTCTGTTCTAAGAGTTGATCCTTCCATTATTTTTAACTGAAGGTCTGTTTTTTATCTCCCCCAATCACAAACCCCTTGAATTTTATACTAGTAAACTTTTAGAAATTAATTGTTGGGTTCTGGATTACATAAAAGCCCTCAAAGGTCAGAACACCGGCAACCCTTGTCATTCATATACCTCACGAAGCAGTACCTCCAGAAGATGGGATGGGAAGCACAGGTGGGTGCCTTCAGGACCACTGTCCATAGCTGACAGTAGACACAAGGATACAGGGTTGCCAGACGTTTGACTTTCTGAACATCTGCACAAGCCACTGCCACATACCAATCAAACCCCCTTCACTCAGCAGGTGAAATTTGGAGTCCGTTCTGAACCTGACTCCCAATTAACTACACAGCTTGGGCACACAGTAAACACACTAAGATTCGTGCAGGGCTAATCACGCCAGAGGTGGAGCAGCCTATACAGGCATAATGGGTTGCTGCCATGGAGGTAGCAAGGCAACTGAGCACCTTTCCCGCAGTCAATATACACACGTTAAACCCAGTGAGAAAGGGTTATCCCTACCCAGACCAAACCAAGTGGAGACAAGCATTGCACTGCCTCTGTAAGTCAAAGAATACAGATACCCTACTGTCTCGGACAGTATACTAGAAGTTGTTTTTACTAGTTCTTTTTCTCGAAGAAAATGACAATGTAGGTGTAAATGATTATACTTCATTTCACTTTGTATTTCAACTCTCAAGAAATAACCTGAGAATCACTGCCAGAGTACTTCTGACGATGTCTGCCTAGGTTCAACACCTTTGAAGAGATAGAATTACATTTGCCTCCTTGAAAAAAACCCAAACAACAGTGCAGCGATGCAAACATTACTAAAGGTACAGAACAGAAAAAAAAAGCCATTACACAAAGTTTAAAAAGGAAATAAATAGAAGATAGACAAGTCACACCGCCTTTGCAGACACTAATGAATTGTCTTCTCTAACAAGACAAATTAGAAACACTTCTATTATGCAAATTAATATTAAAGTTTAGGGTTAGGGAAGCCAGGGATTTCCTACTGTATTCCTAATAGCTGGACAACTAAACTACTTCACTGTTTACTTTATGATGCCACATTCATGATATGGCATAGCCTAAACATTTTCTTAAAACAAAATAAGCCTTAATGAGTTAACCACACGCATGCAGAGAAATCCTGCTACCTGCCAACAACCTCAGGCTCTGCATTTTTTAATAATGAAATAGTTACTCGTGTCATTACATAAATATTATTACATAATATCTCCTTTGTATGCAGAATTAGAGCTATAATAACATAGGTCCCACTATTTCAATACTCTATCTATTAATCCCACTCATCCATTTAATAATTTGGAGCTGTAGTTGCATCAGAGCACAACAGCTTTAATGTCTCACATTCCTCTGTGCCTAAACAGAGAACAGAGAGGTAATTCTGAATTAAAAAAAAAACAAAACAACAAAACAAGCCATCAAGAAATACAACAAAAAGGTCTGCTCTACTATAATAACTGAGTGAAGGGAGACACCTCTGCTGTGCCTTTTTTATTACGTGCTTTTTGTCTTGCCTAACATTTAATGTATATACCAATACACAATTTTCAACAGGCAAGTCAAAAAAATACGCAGAAATTCCTGAATTCCCAAGGTCAGCATTACACAACATTTAAGTGTAAAGGGATCACAAGCAACAATGCTTAATATGCCTAATATCTCAAAAAACATGTTGGGGGGTTTTTCCCACTTAATATTTAACGTATGGGTAAACTACAATACATATCAAATTAATTTTCTTAAGTATTAAATTTTAGAATTTTTTTCCGAAAACGCTTTTGTATTGGTCAGAAACACATTTGAGACGTGGGACGACCCATAAGGCCACGGAGAAGAGGCAGCGAAGAAGCGGCATGTGACACTCGGGAGTCCCGGGGGGCAACATGTGGCCGGCGCTCAGGACGCCCCTTCCTGCAGTGCCGCACCGGTGCCCCCGGCCGTGCGCGATCCGCGCCGCCACACGAGCTCCACTTCCCAAGTGCCGCGCAAGTCCCACTTGTGGCCGCGCTCTGTGCTTCCCCCTCGCCCGCTCACTCTCCCGCGGTAACACCTCCCGGGCAGGGCAGGAGAGCGGCGTGCGGGCCCCGGGGGCGAGGGCGGCACCGACCGCCCCGGTGTTTGCACAGCTGCTCCGCTCTCCCGGGGCAGCCCCGCACAAAGCCCCGGCGGACCCGCAGCCCCCGCCGCCACCGGGCGGGCGCGGCGCGACACCCGGGCAGGTCCCCCGCGGGGACACCCGGGGCAGGTCCCCTCTACTCCCAGCTCCCCCCGGCAGGTGAGACGCCGCAGAGGCGGCGGGCGCGGAGGGGGGGGCGCGACCCAGCCACAAAGAGCGGGAGCCGCCGCTGCCTCCGCCGCGGGGTGGGCGGCGGCGCGACCGGCGCCGGCACGACCCGCGGCGCTGCAGCGGGGGGACGTCCCCGCCCGTCGGTGGCGGCGGCGGGGGGGGTCACCCCTTACCTGCAGGGGTGGCGCCGAAGACTCTCACGACAGGCACCCGCCTGGCCGGGGCCTCTCGGAAGCTGGACTGGCAGGGGTCCAGGCCGGGCAGCGGGCTGCCCATGTAGTAGTCGGCAGTCACGATCCGCACTGAGAACATGTTTGTTCGCCGCCGCCGAGGCACCGCCACAGCACCGAGCGAGCGAGCGAGCGAGCGCGGAGCGAGCGCGGAGCCCGCACGGCTCCCCCCGCCCGCCGCCGCCGCAGCGAGCGCGCGCGCGCGCGCGCGCAGCCCCCCCGCGCCTGCCGCTCCTAGCCTGCCCGCCTGCCGGAGCGCGCGCACGCCCCGCGGGAGCGCGCACAGCCCCGCACGCGCCTTCTCTGTCCCTGCTTCTGCTCCCCCCACCCCCCCACCCGTCCCTTAGTGCCGCCGCTACCGCTCCGGGCGCGTGCGCGGCGGCGCGCCCCGCGCGCGCTCCTACAGCCCGTGCAGCCGGGCGCGCCTCAGGGGCAGCGCGCGCTTGTCCCCCCCGGACGCCCCGGCGGCGGCGGCGCCCCGGCCCCGGGCGGCAGCTGCTGTTGCCATGATGATGTCGTCACGGACGCAACCATTGCGGGAACTCAATGGGGGGGCGGGGTGGATGGGCCGTGTGTTGTGGCGGGTGGCGCAACGAGCGAGGGAGGTGTCACTCACTCCCCGATACAGACACACGCCCCCCCCCCCCCAGCCTTTCGTGTGGGCTCGGCGGGCGGGGCGCGAGCGTGCGTGGGAGCAGGGGGGAAAATCTTTCCAGTGCTACCCCCTCCCTTCCCCCCTGGCAGAATAGGGAGGGAGGGCGGACCTCGGTAATTCGGCGATCGGCCGCGCGGGCTGGGGGCGAGGCTGCGGAATCCCGAGCCGCGGATGGCGCGTCGGGGCGGGGGAGGCAGCGCTGCCGGGACACGACGGGGTTAAGCTGGGTCGGCCGCCATTTTGGATGGCGGGGAGGTGAGTCTCCGCACGCCGCAGGGGCCAACAACGCTCACACAAAAAAAATCAACCTAAAAGATGGGGGGGAAGGAGAGAAACGCGGTCACCTCCCGGGACTGCGGAGGGGTCGGGGGTGATGGGAGTGGAACGGAGCAGCAGCGCTCCCGCGGCCGCCCGCGCCCCCTCGGGCTGTGACTGTCCCCGCGCGCGGCTCACGGGGGGCGGGACCGGCGCCATGGAGGGGCGGTGGCGATTGGTGGCGGGGCCGAGCGCGCGGGAGGGGGCGGGGCCGGGCCGGGCGCGCTGCGGCGGAGCGGGGGGGGCGGGGCCGCGGCCCCCCTGCTCCTGCGGGCGGCTCGGCCCCGCGGCAGCCGCAGCCCTCGCGGAGTGCTCCGTAGTCTTTCCTGGAGCTTGTTTTGCGTTTTGCTGCGCTCTCGTGCATGTTTTTATTTAGAGTGATAGCAGAACCCTTGACTTTAGGTTTAAGATTCCTTTTGCAGTCTCTTTGTTTCAGGGCTGAGGATTCGGGGGAAAAAAAAATCAATCCACAGCAAATATCCAGAGTTGGCAGGGTGGAAGATGAGCCTGCTAAAAGGCCCAATACTCTCACGCTCCCTCAGAATGGTGCTGTTACATGTGCGTGCAGGAGTGGATAATACGAGGCAAATGTACAGATCTATAAAACCTGACACAAGTCCAATATGTAGAACACATGTTTCACATTTTGGTTACATATGTTTTGGGTTTAGATTTGAACAAAAGACAGGTCAGCCAGTTGCTACCCTTCATTTTTTCATTGTAATGAACAGGAAGCTTGCCTGTCTACTCAAGAGTAACTGGTTTCCTACTCTTTCTTTGTAAGCTGTTTATTTTCTCTAGCTCACATCTGTTTTCATCTTTAAACTCATTTTATGCTAACAGAAGAAAAATCCAACTACCTAGTCATGAAGAAATCTTGAGTCGCAGAAGTCATTGGTTGAAATAGGGCTGAAATACAAAGTATTTTCATTGTATCTAAAGAATAGCTGAGTTACAACTTTAATTTTTGACAGTTGTTTGCATTTGCAAAGCTAATATTTAGAGAACCTTTGCAACTGCAAGAATACTCTTATGAATACTTAGATTTCACAAAAGCTAATAAATCACTAGAAGCTTACTGGTGAAGCTTGTTAATAAACACCATCTCCAACTATTGTTATTTGAATACATTTTGTACTGCTGCTTCACTAATACATTTCCCTAATTTTCCGTAGGACTCGGTAGGGGCAATAAGAGTTCTTGTGTTACTCCATTCTGTGCTCTGTTTTCTTTCTGTTCATGTGATCATCTTGACTTCCTGAGCATTGTGTCTTCCCACCACTGTGTATTTCACTGACGCCTTAATGCCGTTGAACAGTGGCACTTGTGCTCTGGTGCCTCTTCCTGCATGAGCTGAAGATACATCAGCAGTCCACTTATGTGCTAGGGGATACCAATATGCTACTGTCTGTCGTCATACACATAGGCAGCAGAACATGATGTGTATCAGCCCCTCAGCTGGGTTGATGTATAAACAAAGACATTTAAGCTACTGGTGGATTCTGGCTTCTCCTAAATGACTGCGGTGTGTGAGGTGTGGGCACAAGTTCGTACCTGGTAGTCCTGCTGAAGAGAAAGCAATTGACCACAACAGAATAACGTAGAAAGATTAACTAACTTTTTAGGAGCATAAAGCAGGATTCACTAAAGCACGTCATTCAGAGTCTTCTATTTAATTACAAAAATTTTTATGTTGTTTATTAAATCAGAGAGAACCATGCTTTGAATTAGGAAGAGCTTGTGCAAACAGAAGACAGCAGAACTGAGATGAGAACAGTCACTACCTAACTTAGAGCCAGTTTCTTGTTCATATGAGGTATGAATTGATTTCTGAAAGTATTGAGTGTTACTCTCAGAAAAAAAATGGTGTGACTTTCCTTTTTGATGTAAATAGCTTAATCCAAGTGGTAGTTTTATAGCCATGCAGACATTTTTGTGGAACTCACGTGCTTTCTGAGCTGTGCTTTTTCAGTTTCCCTTCGTTTCTTACAGCTCACTTCTGCTTTCATAGTCATCTTGCAGTCAAGTCAATAAATTCGTCTGCAGGGTCACACCATGGTAAGACTGTATTTTCAGAAAAGGTTTGAGTCAGCACTGTCACGGGAGGTCCCCTGCCTTCCTCCTCATGTCAGTGCAAGCATTTGAATAGCTGCACAAGAGACTTGATTTGGAAACTGAGCCAGGTAAAAGTGATCCCACTAAAAACTGTGAGTTAATTTTAACTTAGATCAGGTCCTCCTCAGTCTGCCTCATTATGTTTGGGTGTGGAAGCCTGTGCTTGCACAGAGAAGGAGGCAGTGCAGGGGCTGAGTTGGATCAGCAGGAATAAAAAGAGAACACTTCTTCCAGAAGTCTTGGCTTGTGGTAGCTGAAGTTGCTGAAGTCTGCAAATCAGTTTAACCCTTACAGTAGATGAGACACACAAAGCCTGTTTCTGTATTTCCTGCATATCAACTTGTGTGTCAGTGTTTGTCTTTGGCGGTTGTTTTATGTGTTGTTCATGCACATGTGCATATACATGTATGATATATAAATTTTCTTGTAATTTACACTCTTATTACCTGAAAATACTGCCATTCTACAATATCAATAATTGCAAAAGGAAACATCCTGGTTAGAGAGCACTACCACCCATTTTCCCTGGTACCTCCAAACACTGTATGTTCTCTCTCTGAGGTTTCATCCAGTTTTCTGTTATAAAGCAAGTCACCCCCTTTCTCTGTTCATCCAGTTGCTAAGCAGCAGCTTTTCTCCCCATTAGCCAGCCATGTATTTGCATGAAAATAATCAAGCTTGAATATATAACTGGTTTTAATCATGCACAGCTAAACAGCTGTACAATCAAAATTTGCGTATTAATAGTGTTAGTTATAACCATAACCGATGACTGTCTTTTAAGTTAGAATTTCTCTATAGAGTAAAATCAATATAGGTTTGCCTTTTTTTTTTAAACAAAAGGCACGACCATTTCTGTTTTTCCTTAATGCTTACTGTGTAGCTACTTAAAAAAATTGGTCACAAAATGGTATCGCAGTTCACAGAAAAATTATAAATGCAAATATGAGCAGACACAGAATCATCTAGTGACTAAAGATGATGGGGGCCAAGAGCCACATTTTTCAAATATCTAATTATAGTAGCAGAGTGCAACAGAATTTGGTGATAAAAGTTTAGACTATGAGACAAAGGTAAAATTTCTAAAAGTACATCTTACTTTCAAAACCAACTAAAGAATCTGTGTTTCAGTTCTTATTGATTTCAAGGATGTTCAGTATTTCTGAAATCCATGATCTGAAATCTTGGAGTGCTCTCTCAGTATGAGGGTGCCCTGGATTTATCCAAACTATATTTCAGAATGAGGGCTGAGGGTGACACATATTTTCAGGTGTTGATTTTTCAGATGACAGAAACACGATGTTTTTCTGTGCCCAGGGAGAAAACCTGGGCACGCAGACCAGGAGTAATATATGAACCATCCAGTTGGTGTCCTAACCTAAACAGTCAGATTGTCTTCATTACACAGGAAGTTTATTTCCCAATATACCCACAGACTAAGGGAATGAAAAAAGTCTAAATCTTCAGACTGAAATATTTGGTACTATGCTGTGTAGTTGTGGACTGCCAAACCTGTATGTACTTTGCCACGTATGACAATCCATAGTCTCATGTTAGATGTTCCTCAGATGTGACTCAGTGCAAGAAGTCATCCTCTTAGTCCACAAAAGTGCTTAAGGTCCTAATTAATGAGGTTTATTTATTTATTTTCATTCTCAATTAATAGATATAGGCTAGGCAATAGGCTCTGAAGCGTAGTGCATTCAGGTTCTGTCAGAACCAGGGCAGTCACACATTTAATCAACAGCATTACACCAACAGTGTCTTGTCACTAGAAACTTGATTGCAAAACTAACCTAATTCTCAATTATGAAAATATAAGAAGTATCAAAGCAGTCTTTTGGCTGAGACTTAATAAACCTATCAGGGCAAGAATGGTGTCGTGATTGGAAAGAAACAAATGTCTTTGAAGGAGAGCCCATGGAAGTGTTATGTGCATTGTGTGGGACATATGAAACAAATTGTGACATAGGGTGTGCAAAGGCATAGAAGTAAAAAAAGAAATATATCTTTGGTGTAGTAACATTAGATTTGTTCAGATAACTGTGTAATTTTTTTAATAAAATAATTTATTGACAAAGGAAATCAAGTCAATTTCACGGAAGCACTGAACCATCACGGTTGGAAGAGACCTTCAAGATCAGCTAGTCCAACCATCATCCTAGCACCACCACAATCGAATTTAATCTTTACTTCATAAAATGATTCAGTATAGTACCCTATGAGAAATGAAGGAGGATGCATAACATAAGAAAATTGCTGATGGGAAATTATGGTGGATTGTGTTGAAAGAAGGACTATAAAACTGGAAGTTGGCTACAGGTAGAGTCTACTCATTTAATGTCCTTAGTGCAATGCTAGTTAGCATATAAATAAAAGTTGCTAGTAACCTTAATCTTGAAGCAGAACAGCATTTTATACAAGATCCATAACTTTGGAGTTAAGGAAGAATAAAGAATATGTAAGCCTAAGAACAGTGTCGATGTAGAATGATGAGATATAAAGTGGACATAACCTTGCCATGAAAGAAGGTTTCTAGCCAATAGAGGAATGAATTTATTCTCTCAGTGAAAATAGCAGGGCAGAGCATTCAGCAAGTTTTAATATGGAGATTGATGAGATTATGAAAAGGATTTTGTGATGTTTGCTGGTAATCGCATCTGACTGCACCTGATTATCAAATCTTCTAGCAGGATTGCACGTAGATCCCTGAACATTTCAATAGTGGGTTCCTCTAATCGATGCAGACAATTTAGCCATTAGGATAAATGAGTTTTCATCATCATGGTACAAACCACATTGTATACCATAGATATTGCACAGGTTTCGGTTTCAGAAAATCTTGACTGTAGTGCAAAATGCAACCCTTTTACAACATACATTGTGGCCTCATGTATGTTCATATCTGTAAATGAGTTATGTATACAAATTCACATACATAATGTTTATATGAAAATGCAAATCACCTTTGAACATTTTTGTTTCCTGGGTTGTATTTGCATTTAGCAACTTATATTTCAAACAGAAGCTTTGATTGAAAGTTGCTCAATTTTTGGTGGTTTTTTGTTGTTTGGGTTTTTTTTTAAATAATGATTTTTTTTCCCAACATTTTCAGGTCTTGCTGTTGCCTTGTATCAGAAAAACTTGTCACTGAATGTATATACAGGAAAATGCATAAGTATTCAAGAAAATTGGATAAACTGAAATGTAAAAATTAATAAATAATTAAATGTGTAACATTGTAGAACTATGCCATTTTTTAAAAAAATTGAGAAAGTGTATTTAATTGAGAAGCAACGTATGTAACCTGTAAGAAAATGGACAGTAAGCACTTAATTGTAAAGATGAGATTCCAGATCTGCTCTTTGCTGACAGAATTCTACATGTCAAGAAGGGATTGAGGTTCCCTTCCATGCTTGGAAAATGACCTACTATCAAGAATAAAATATTTATATAAGGAATTCAGTTTAGTGTAAGGACACACACATTGTTAGGGAACAGTTAACAGTATAATAATGAGTGATGTTTAGGGATTGTATGTATGACAATGAGAATTCCGTAGATGAAATTTGATGAGGATGAATTAAGTCTTAGATAATTGAGTAGTGCTAAAGTAGTTTTTTTGAGTGCCATTGCTGAATCAGCATAATTTAAAAGCCTGCTGTCTAGTGCTTTAGACTAATGACTGTAGAAGTTGGGTATGGAGTTAACAGAAGAAACAGTGTGTAATGACATATCATAACATTTCAACATTAATACTGTTTGTGGGATTGGTATGTTCAACAGTGTTACTGGCAAGTAGTGGAGTATACAAGGAAAAGAGACTGAGCATTTGAATAGCTTTTTTTAAAAAAATTAAAGTAATTGGTTTATTTTAACAAGAAAACTGCCAGTCCCTACCAAACTCTGAAATGTCTACTCTATACAGTGCAGCTCAGGTACATGGTTTTAAGAACTGTTTTTCAACAGGCAAGTAAAACATAATTTTTCATATTCTAGTTCTGATAAATAGCCAAAGCATTTAGTTGAAACTCTTCATTGGGAAATATGTCTGGTGTGAAGAGAGTTAGTCCGAATGGTTCAAATAATAAGTAATTAGAAGGATGTCATAATGGAAAATTTTCAAGTACTATAACTGCCAAAAGCCCTATCAGTCTTCTATAACTTATGTAGCAAAATATACATGAGTATGTGGTTACTATTTGAATTTTTGTTGTTTTAAAATGGGAAATGTTTTTCTGTGAATGAATCACAGAAATGGGGCTGGATGGTAAGTAGTGAAAGCCATTTAATTTTAGATGCTATGTTTTTTTCTGCCATGTAGTCCGACTTATGGGAGGCATTCCTCATTCATGCATCAGACAAAGTGAAAGAAGCCTCAGTGCAATATGTAGATCACAAACAGCCATCTGTTATCCAAAAGGAAAGAGGAGTGTTGCTATAAGAGTAAACTTATAATGTTTTAAGATGAGCTTAGAGATGGCAGAGCTCCGTTAAATATTTTGTCCATCTCTGTTGGTATTGGTCCCTGTCATATATGAATGTATACATTATACTGCAGTTTCAGATACCTGCTATATTTTTTTCTATTAGGACAATTACCTCTAGTTTAGAACTCTCTATAGGCTTTCTCTATTGTCTGAATTAGGTTACTAGTTATGTGTGTGTGTATATATATATATATAAAACCTTTTATCACCT